AATAATTCATGCAGAATGGTGAATAGGCATTTAGTCAGACGATATGTATGTGGGGAGGATTATGATGAAGCAGTAAAAGATGAATTTGTTGACTTAATTTTTTACAACAAAGGGTGTTCGTGCAGCAGAAAGAGGATGTGTTGTAACACCTGCTCTTCACAGATGTGTGTGTGGTTGTGCGTACGTGTCTCTGTCTGTCACTGTGTGTGTGTATATCTGTGATCTGATGTGCATTTCCATTTATATATCCTACTTGTCTAGATATCGACAGGCTAAATGCGTCTCCTTTTCTTATAATAAACACATTTACAGTTAGCAGAGAGATAGCTCTCGGGTGCTTTTATTTCAGAAAAAATGGTACAGTTCATCAAAACGAACAAATGTCCTGATAGTTTGGCATGTGTCCTTGCTGTTCAAGGAGTGAGGGAAAGTTCTGTGGCATGTAGAAGGTTGTTCCAGTCTAGGGGATCTGGCAGACATCAGGCCTGGCTGTGTCTCGCTGTACTGGACCTCAAGGTCACCCTGTGAATGCTCTCACGAAACCAGTTTCACCCCAGGAGAAGTGTGATGGGGACTTTAAGGCAATGCAATTAGCACCAGGTGCACGTCATCCCTATAAAGCTAGATGATTTTCATTTTCATAGCCCTCCCCTTGACCACACACTCCTGGGATGTCTATCGTTCTGTTCTCTAGTTCTCTATGCTATGAAATGCATTGAAACACTTCATGCATTGAGCATAAAGTACAGTATAGTGCTGTTTTAAGAATACGCACTTGTCCTTCCCTTGTTTTATTTCACCCAAACAGATGATGCACATGCAAAATGGCATTCAATTGATTAATAGGTATTTTGAAGCATTTTAGAGCATGCATTAGGGCTGGGTGAAAAGACCAAAAAAATAGCACAATATCATATCAGTCAATATGGATAATTTTCACGATAAATGTCAAATCTTTATTTCTTTCAAGTTTAAAGGCAGATCTTTGCTCCAGAGTGAAAGAAAACCTGACAGTTAATTGTGGTTTTATCATCAGACTTCTTTTATCATCAGAACATGACAAACACTTGCCAAACAGGTGAACATTTCACAAATTAATATGACATGTTTTGTCTCTTAGAAATGCACATTTCACAGTTGCTTGATGCAGATGTAAATTTGCATCAGTATTTGAGTCACGGATCAGATCAGTATTTGTTATGAAAAACAGTAGCAAAAAGACATTTAGTACAATACAAATGCACAAGAACGGCAATAGCTTAATAACAAACAATTCTGTAATTATATTCCATTACTCCTTTACATTTATTATATGAATATCCCACATTTGCAGTTTGTTTCCATTGTTACAGTTTGTGTTACTACAGTAAATCCATGGTAAATGTTTGTGATTTGTGGATTGAAAAGCCTTCTAACTGTATCATTGTGGCACAATGTTTCTCTTGTTTTCCGCGAGTTGTGAGAATGTCAGTGCTGTTTCATTTGGCTTTAAGCTGGTTTAAATCATGAGGCATATGATTTGTTCATATGGGAGAACTCTGCGCCAAACTCAAACGCTTTTCACTGCATCTGACAGCGCTGTTTAGTGGTCGCGTGATTGAGACGGACAGCGAGTAAATGCATTTCCCCCTGAGCCGAGCTGATGAATGATCTGTGTGGCGTGGTTCAAATGAGTAGCTCTGTTTCGTTACACTTTTTGACGCATTTGCCATTTAATGTTTCTCATAAGCAACAGAAATAGCAGCGCTTATCAGTTAGGCAAATTGGTACTGGTGCCTGTGTGATGGTCTGCAACAAGTGTTTGCAGGATTATTTGCATAGTGCATAAAGAGTATATCGAAGATTTAGCAAACTTTTGTTATAATTTTAAAGAGGAAAATTATATTGCAATAATTATTGTTATCGTTTGATCGCCCAGCCAGCATGCGTAAATTAATGTAAATAAAGTCTTTAATCTTCTTCGAACTCTAATTACGTAAGTTTTCATGCATTAAAGACACAATCTATTTTTAAAGACAAAAAAATAAGGCTTCACAATATACTGTATGCACACTTGCTCTATTTCTCTGACAGCTTGTGGGACTTATGAAGACATTTCTGTTGTTTTTTCCAGTGCATTCTGAAAATTTCTAGGAAGCGAATGTGTCAGTGTGCTGAAAGGATTTTGACACTGGGACAGCCCTAGAAATGGTTGACTGCCTGGGCAGTGCATTTGCGAACAAGGGAGCTGATTAAGACGCTGCATCCCTATTCACATATATCTGCTGTGCAGTAAAAATATTTTTCACTGTCGATTGGAAAGTACATACTTGTAACTAAGTACATATTTGGCAGTATTTGGAATGTCATAAAAATGCATCTTCTTGCATGAATGCATACTTAGTGAAATACAATTTCGGGTATTTTTTTCTTGAGGCACATATGGCATATTGTTTAAAATGTGACTTTATAAAGAAATACTTAAAGGCTACACTTTGTGTTAATGTGTATATTAATATTAAAGTCCATTCCAAAGGGAGTTATTCTCTATATCATTAATCACTGTTTCTGAACTCCCTGAAATGCCTCAATTGTATTCTTGAGGTTTCTTGAGGAAACATGCTCAAAGCGGTTGACCAATCACCAAACACACTGGTCCATCCGACCAATCAGAACAGCACATTGCCCTTTTCAGGAGAAGATATTTTGAAGAATATCGGTAGACCCCATTGAATTCCATAGTATTATTTTTTTTCCATATGGAACTCAATGGGGCCGATCAACTGTTCGGTTACCCATTTTCTTCAAAATATCTTATTTTTGTGTTCATTAGAAGAAAGAAATTCCTACAGGTTTGGAACAACTTGTGTGTAGCTAAATGATGACCGAATTTAAACTTTTGGGTGAACAATTTAAATATTGCTGTGATATCAAAATTGGAATTTCCTTGGCATTGATATTGACTTTTTGTATAGTGAATTGGGATGCAGTGCAGATGTGCAGCAGATACCGGTGTCTTCAAAGAAGCTTTTACAGCAGCCATGAACTAGGATGAATTGTGTGTTCGCTGGCCAGTAGACCCCTCGGAAAAAGTGAAAAGTGATGAGCAAGCATGTGTGACATACCACACAAAACCTCTTCCCCCATAAACTATGGCGCTATGTAAGCATCTCGCCCTGTTTTGATAGGACGCTGGGTCTGGGCCACAGAGGGGTCCTGTAGTTTGGTTTCCTTTGGAAGTATTTCTGCGGGGAGGGGGAGGTGCGGAAATTCCTGTCTTGCATAAAAGCAATGTCGCCGAGTCCACATACGCACACGCACTAATCCCATAAACACAAACCGGCCCCCATAGGATAAGACCGAACCCGCTGTGACATTCCTCCAGCATTTTCAGACACGCAAGCAATGAGTTTAAATGATTTGAAATTGAAATCATGGGATGTAATAATGGGAAAAGGAATTGGAGTCAGTAGAGCGAGGAAAAGCAAAACAGTAACTTGATGTTTTTTTTGTCAGCTTGACTCAGACTGACTCAGACTGTACTCATTTGTAATGCAGTGCAAGGACAATGGAAGTGAAGGGAGATGGATGCATTGCTCAAACCATCATCTGTCTGGATGCCTCCTTCCCTCTGGCTCGGAAACCAAAGCAGTCATACCAGGAAGAATGTTAAAAACACCATCTCCACAGCCAACTCACAGTCTGATGTGTGAGAATGATGAATAACTCTTGCTGCTCAGAGAGTTTGAGCTTTGAAAATCACAACTGGGATCCCTGTGACCTTACGTTAGGATTTAAATTCAGCATGAAACCAACACCGACCCTGTTTACATTCTTTATTCATATTCTGATTGGTCCTGGTCTGATTGTGAATGTTATTCAGAAAAATTGGTCTAGGGTTTATTTGGAAATAATTTACACTCTTGCTAGTTTCATTAAATTGCTATTAAATTTCACACAAAAAAACACAAGTAACACGTTGAATTTAACATGACATTTTGAAGTAGAAAGACTGAAATAGTCTGTTTTGTTTATAGCTTGGAAAAATCATTCTCTCACAGTCTGTACATTTATTCTAAGAAAAAATGTTTTGTTAGCTTTAATCAATCTGTAATAACTTGCAAACAGCTTTATTTTTTCAGGTGATGTCATCTAGGCCCTACATGTTTAACTTAATGCTAGTTAATATAATAAGCAATAATAGCTAAACAGTGTTTCAAGGATGAGAGTAATGCTCCACAATATACTGTGGAATTAAATGAACACCTTCATTAAATATTCTGTTTTTCTTTATGCAAATGAAAGCAATCACCTTTTGCAATAGAGTGCTGCGGTGATGACTTATTTTTGTAGGCCAAACCATAAATTAGTATCACACTGGTTCCTTCTTCAAAAAGAATACCTTTTGAATTATTGCAAAAAATGAACTCTTCACGATTCTTACACATTTTGTTCATTTATGACAATATTCTTCACAAACTAACTAGTGAATTTTGAAGCCTAAGTACAGTCAGCATATAACTGAACTACGCCACGGTTGCATGACTTCGTCACCACTTTAAGCTTCTGACAACTTCAGTCTTTATTTAAAAACATTTCCCCTGAAAGCCTGATTTTGAATAGTTTGCAAGAGCGTGATTACAAACACAACGAGACTATTAAAGCGAACTATTGAGTAGATGTGTTTACCTTGTCAGCGTGATGTTTATAATGTCTCCGACAACCTCTAGTTCCATTTAGCCACTTGTTAGCGTCCGTTTTTTTAAAGACAAGTAAAAGCTTTTAAAAAAATCTCAAGACTGCTTTACTGATGTATTTAATTTTGTAGAATAAAACTTCTATTTCAATCATTTTGATCCAGAACAATGGAAGTGCAAGACGTGCTAAAATGCGAACTTTTTGCCTACAAAAATACGTCATCAATGCAGCATTCCATAGACTTCAAATATGTAAGCTATATAAAATACTTATTCTATTCTGTTTGAAGGTCTTTAATTGTCTGTTTTTCTTTTTAATTACAGAACTTACAGCCAGAAGAAGGGCACTCTGGAGAGAGATTACGCGCAGGTGAGACTACGGTCTTTGTGTTCCTTGATGATGATGATGTTTGAGGGATTGTGTGCATCTTTTCACCAAAGTCTCTAGAGTGTTGATTACAGCCCTGTTGCATTTATTGATATCACGCTACAGCCATTGCAAACGCTCTTTTGGGATCCATCAAAACAATAGAAAGTCCATCGCCCACCCTGGTTTATTGCTAATTTATATGCATTTATTGAATAGGATTTCAAACCACATATGAATGAGCTCAAAATGGATTGGTAAAAGGTGCTCTATGTAACTTTTCTACTAAAATGAATCCTTTTTTTATTGCCTGTGTGTGAAGGGGTTGTAATCACACATTAAAATGATCCACTTGTCGAGTTTTGCTATAAGGCTACCTCTGAAGGCCAGTATTCCTATTTCTATGTGAAGTCTCCGGGTCGGATTTACCGCGAAATCCAACGGATGTGACGTGCATGCGCGCTCCCGAGCCTCTCTCCTTATATAGCCTACAGTCTATTGTAGACGGTCAGGGAGTTACGTCCGGTTAAAGGCGCACGTTTTTCGGCTTATATCTCAGTCAATCTTTGATCCATATTCCCAAGACTCTAATCGTTCGTAGTGCTGGACGGGGCCTTTCGAACGAGCCCACCCCCGAGGTCCAACTCGCCCGGCTCCCCGAGTTATAGCCGTTCGAAATCGGGGGTCCCAGCGAACGGCGATCCGGTAGGGGGCATCCCCGAGGCCCGCCACTCTAGCGTTCGGGCAAGGGTTCCCCTGGGACCTCCTCCCCCGAATTTGAGCTCTCTGGGTCTTTGCGTTCCAGAGATACGCGTGACGTCACCGGCTTCCGCAATTTTGCAGCGCGCCCGATGGTTTTCTGCTAATATCTCCGCGAAAACACCACCAAAAACTATGGAACTTATATGCTTCTTTTCAGCTCGACTAGATGGTCCCAACGAGCTCGGTGCTCGCCGAATCCGTCTAGTATTCGCCGAGATATTTGCATAATAGACGGTATTGTCTATGAGTTCGAGCACGAGCGCTCTTGTAAAATTTGGTTGCAATCTGAAACATCACCACTAGAGGCCGCTAAAAGTTACATAGAGCACCTTTAAAATAGCATTTCGTTGATTTAAAAAAAAAAAAAAAAAACATTTTTGCTATACTTGCTAAATCTGATCAGATTCCAATCAGATATGCACAAAAATCGGATTTGGGCTTGACAGTCTGAATGAGGCTTTAGGCTTTGAAATGATTTCTGGCGTTTTGTTGGATGCTAAATTGTGACCAATCATATTATCTTGTGGTTTAATTTTAGTTAGTTTGTTCCACAAACTGCATGATATAGTGGAGGTTTGCACACATGCATCATGTTGAAGCATGACAAAGGTCAAAGATTTGTTCCCAGATGATCAGCCCTTGAAATGATTACAGAGTTCAGCTCTTATTACTAGGTTTTAAGGTCATTTCATATTTCGCAAGCGCAGTTTTTACATTTATCATGCATTTTGACATTAGACATGATTCTGGCAGATTTTATAGCCAAGATAATGATTTTGTTTTTTATTGCACCTGTAATATCAGAGTGCTTTGTCAAAAAGACATGCACTCTGGTCTCTCCTAAAGTGTATTGCACTTAAAGCTGAAGCATTTCCAGAATGTTTTATAGTTTAATGCAATGTTCTTTTTAAGTAAACTAAAATAGAATCTTGAGGAAATGTGTCTGGTCTTGGTCGACCTCTGAATGTCATGCTGTTTGAAGTATGCTCAGAGTTTGCTTTATCTGTGTGCACAAGTGTTAAACTAGAATTCCTTCCAAGATAAAACTAGATAGACAGGAGTCATTTTATGCAGCATTCATGGCATAAAAAAACAGGGATGACATTTGTCGGATGGCACGCAAATGCTACGTCAAAAGAGGTGAATGGATGCACGCTGATCCTGAGATTATATGCCAGAGATTATTAACCGTTGGATTAGGAGCTCATATATTGTGTGCTCATGCACATGGTGTTGTGTGTGTATGTACGGTGGTCCCAAGTAATGTGTGTAAATGATCTTGGCTCTATTTCAGAGTATTTAGTGCACAACAACACTTAATAAGACAGTATTATAGTGCACATGATGTGACAGCTCTATCAACTTGTAAGATCTGGCTTTAATGTTTATACTGCGGTAAATGTATTTGCATGGCCATCGAGTTCCAAATAAAAAGAGATGTACATTGCTGTTAAGCATTTAATTAACTGGATCATCTTGCACACATTATAATGCTATAAACGCAAATGGCACATGGTCATAATGAAGACGTGCAAACACACACGCACCAGATGTATGACACATGGGCGAGTATTTGGGCTTTATGACAAACAGTTTGGTAGATTAAGGTTATAATTAACTTGGATCACTTTAAGGGTTTTCTTTATTTCAAAACTGCTTTTTTTTTTCAGAAATGCACAAAAACAGCTCTTCTGCTTGTGAGTGTTCTAGAAGATAAGGTTCATAGGGACTTGAACTTTGACCCCAAACATTCAGAAATGTTTGCTTAACTTTCTTTGTGTGACTTAGCAGATTTCATAATGGACTTTCATAACGGAGCTTTTCATATAACATCAGTTGTTGTCTAGTTAATGATTTTGCAGGCAGGTTTTTGTGGTCTTGTAAATATTTAACTTGTATTGTATCGTATGCCTCAATAGTTTAATCGTTTCTGTTTTACTGAATGACATTTCCCATAATCCACTGGCCTAATGACGAATCCTGAAAACATTTTTTTCTTCATCGCAATTCAAACAATATCCAAGCTCTATGATATGCAAAATTGCGGATAAGTGTATCGCAAAATCATAGTAGGCTACACTTAAAATAGTATGCCTAGACTATGTGCATTTTGAAAATAAGCACCTCTTTTGAGCTTATATTGTGTTTGGAAACCTATTACATACTCAATATGGATTTTCTTAACACCAGTAGGGCTATCGATTTACACAAAATCCCATTATTGATCCTCATTTAAATGAACGATCAATTAAATAAACCTTAATATTGCAAGATGCGTCTACTGCAGTGGCGTTCAGCCACTCAAAACACCAGCTTCTTCAAGCAAATCTTTTTTTTTTTACCCTAAATAATAGGCTAATAGGATTGTATGTGATTTATGATCATTTGATAAAATGATCATAATGAACATGTAAGGAGAAATTTGTGTGTAGGACTAATGTCTTGCGCATCTCATCGCAAGCCTCCATTGCTAATTCCGAAGTGTAATTTTAGAGCAAGCAACAGAGTCTTGAGACACAGATATGCAGACTGATGAGAGCGAGATTGATAGATTGGTTAATGGTTAAGCATGTGTGCATTAGCTAAGTCTGTGCAGCTTACAACAGTGTTCGGCAGCAGCGCAACATTACAACGTCCATACTGAGAAATGTCATGTAGCTTTTCAGTTGCAAATTTATTTTATTGATGAAGCCACAGGGCAGCGCTAACAACGTTTCTGTGCGATTGTATGTTTCCATGTGTGTCTCTGTACTGTATGTGTGTGTGCGTTTGTATGGGAAATACATGCGTCCAGGGCTTGACATTAAAGGAGAACTCCGGCGCAAAATGAACCTTTGGTCTAATAAAACATTGGTACCTAGTCAACCGTTCTCTGAGATTTGTTTTCATGATAATCGAATGTAAAGAGTTGTATCTCTAAAAACTGTTTAGCGTATAATGCTAGTAATGGGGGCATTTATTAAGTAAAAAGAAATCGCTAGTTTATACCACTAACAAGGCTCAAAATCGCCCCACACTAACACAGTAACATAATGAGGGTCCCTACATGCAAAACGAAGCATTGAGAACTTTGTAAGTGTACAGACCGTTTAATAAGAAGATAAAGATAAAGACAGTCCACTTCGTGTATACAGACAGGAGCCATCTTTGGAAAACAGTCTCGACTAATCAAACCACGAACGCCATTCATACAGTTCAGAAGTTCACTGAACTTCATACAGTTCAGCTCACTTAGCACGTCGTTCGTGGTTTGATTAGTCGAGACTGTTTTCCAAAGATGGCTCCTGTCTGTATACACGAAGTGGACTGTCTTTATCTTTATCTTCTTATTAAACGGTCTGTACACTTACAAAGTTCTCAATGCTTTGTTTTGCATGTAGGGACCCTCATTATGTTACTGTGTTCGTGTGGGGCTATTTTGAGCCTTGTTAGTGGTATAAACTAGCGATTTCTTTTTACTTATTATATGCCCCCATTACTAGCGTTATACGCTAAACAGTTTTTAGAGATAAAACTCTTTACATTCGATTATCATGAAAACAAATCTCAGAGAACGGTTGACTAGGTACCAATGTTTTATTAGACCAAAGGTTCATTTTGCGCCGGAGTTCTCCTTTAACACCCGCCAAATGCGGGTGGGTTTCAGCAGTGGCGTGTAACACAGTCACTCCTACTAGCCACTTTGGTGGGTTGACATTTATATACATTTTTCAATTGTAGTCTTTTGACTAGGCATATGAAATAATAAACTAAATAAATGCAATGAAGTGTTGTCAAAAATATTAATTTTGTCAATTTTTCGATGCGTATCGATACTGAAATTTCTGAAACGCTTCCCATATTAATTTTCCACAGAATAGATACAAGACACCAGCTGCGCTTTCTCAGCTCTTTCATCTCTCCGACAAAAAATGACACACAAACCCGCCTCCACTCACTCACTCGTTTAATTTGCTCTGGATGAATATTGTTGGTGTTACAGAGCTTGAATTTCGCCGTGGGATTGTGCGTTTTGCGCATAATTGTACTTATTCCTGCAGATTTTGTGCTCGCACCCAAAGTGTGTGCACATGTAGCCACATTGAGTTAATTTTTGCTGCTTTTTGCGCCTAAACAGTCAAATACAGACAAAATAATGTCAAAATGCCAGTCTGGGCGAGTATTCTAAAACGCTGTCCGTTATGTTTTAAATGAACGTAAACAGTTTAGTAAGAAAACGCTTGTGTAACAGTATAATGGAT